ATTATTAGCTTAGACGTTACTTTCTCTGGGGAACATTCTCTGACTCTCCCAAATCTGAGTTAGGGATCCTCTGAATTACACGTCTGGGATGATGCATCAGAGAAGAGAAATGGCATGCTTTATGGGGAGAAGATCCATAAATCTGTGAATGGAATTATTCCAGTAGCAGTAAGAGTTTAAAGCCAAAGGAGGCTATGAGATTATAAGCCTTTGAAAATTTCACAGACATCTTGGCAAGGGCTTTGGAATTCTACTGTAGGTGGAAAGGGGATTCCTGGGACAAAGGACCACCAGGTTAGATATATTAATAACAAGAATGACTACTACTAATGCTACTTCCATTTACTGAGCACCTAGCTAATGCTTACACCAGATCTATGCTATTTGCTATCCTTTTTTCTGCCTTCAATTCTGATTGCCCACCTCCCATCCAAAGTATATGTTCTAATTATCAAGTTACATTATTCATTCCCTGCTTAAGATCCTTTTGGCCTTACACTTAAAATTCAGACTCAGCATGAAAAACAAGGCTGTGTGATTGCCATTTCACCTTTATCTTTGGTTGCAACCCAGTTATTCTTCAGTCATACTGAACCAATGTAAGAAAATCTTTAGTGTCTCCCATTGTGAACCCCCTTCCCATTTTCCCAATACATCTCTTTCCTTCCCATTTTTTCTGCTGTATTGTCCACATTTCTGCTTTACCACTTCTTATATCACACTGCATGAATTTCTTTACATATTTTTCCCTCTAATTTGACATTGAAGCCCCTGTGGTAAAACAATGCCTTATTCGTCTTAAAATTTACTTTGTTTATTCATTCATTTAGTCAACAAATATTCCAGTCTAATAGAGCCTTAGAACCAACTGTCTACAGCAAGCACTTAATAAGTGTATACTGAATAAGTGCATGAATTAACTTGTTCTAAGTGGTGGGCAGCCACAACCTCTTCCAAGAGTGGCTCTGGGCAAGTATATTTACAGACACTAGTAGAATTATCTTCCTTCCTGGCCTTAGTCTTACTTCAGTAATACCATTTTATAACAAGGGTTAGCCAACTTTCTTTGAAGAGGCCTAGGTAGAAATATTTTCAGCAGCGGTGACTAAATGGTTTTTGTTACAACTACTCAGCTCTGCCAACTTAACTCTGTGGTTGTGGTGTTAGAGTGTCCATAGACAATATTTAAGCAAATTACGTGGCTGTGTGCCAATAAAACTTTATGCACGGATGCTGAAATTTGAATTAATATTATTTTCATGAGCTACAAAATATAATTCTTTTGATTTTTTTCATCCATTAAAAATGTAAAACGTCCTTAGCTTATGGGTGCTACAAAAACAGGTTGCATACAGGATTTGGCCTCCAGGCTCTAGTTTGCTGGCAGGTTTTAGAAAATTCCTAATTTAAAAAATGTGTAGTTCTATTACACTCTCCTCCCTCTCCTTCTCTTCTTGTGGATAACCATCTGCTGGAGGTTGAATGGAAAGGCAATCTCACAAAGTATTAATATGTTGATTTATGCACTGCTGTTTCAACTCCCATGGATACGAAGTCCATTTATCCAGTGAATAAGATACAGAGTTAGGTTGTACTGCCAAGACAACACAGTCCCAAGCGACACGAAATCGGCGATGGCAGGGTTCCGGAGACGCGAGGGAACCTCCCTCACTTCTCAGACCCAAGGTATCCCTAGCTGGAAACGCCGTTCTCCGATTGGCTTCCCGGGCCGGCCGCGGGATCGCGCAGACGCACTGGTTCCGCCTTCCCACCAATCTCGCTCGCCCCTCGACGCGTTCCGTTCGTGCGTGGAGGAGGTGGCGGGAGGTAAGGCCGCTCCGTGGGCCGGGACTGCGGCTCGCCGAGCGGCTGGGCCTAGCGACGGCGCGGATGGAGGACTCGCAGCTGTTCTGCGTGGCCGAGGAGCGAAGCGGCCACTGCGCGGTGGTGGATGGAAACTTCCTCTACGTTTGGGGGGGCTACGTGGTAAGGGGAAGAGGCGGGACGGGGCCGACTCGCGTCGGGAGCCCGCCCGGATTCTCGGACCGAGCGGACGCCGAGTGCCCGCCCACACCCAGCCCCGAAGCGGGGGC